TTTTGACCTTGGATTAGCTGATAACTCTCCTCAGGAGAACTATTGAATCTCTGTATATTTTAGAGTCAAATGATTCTTTTAGCACCCTTCACTTTCGATTGTGGACATTATTACATTTTATTGTTGTTTAAAAAGATTTTTGCTGTAGGGCACGTGAGCTCACCAGAGAGAGACAGAAAGCAAGAAATCACTCCTTGGGGGGGATGGCCACCCTGCAATCCCTTCTCCATTCCCCTCTCAGAATTTTGGGCATGTGTGCACACGTGCCCAGTGTGAGCTTTAAATCACAAGGTCCAGGACTCAAACCGTGGTCAACTACATGGGAGTTCAGCAATGTAGCCATTACACCATCTGCTGGTCCCAACATTATTACTTTTAACTTAGGGATCAAACACCAAAGTAAATGGAATTGCCTCATGGACTAATGCACAAGTTCCATTCAGACATATAATGCTACCTGAGGCTCCTGATCTAGAGTGGTTATGTCATTCTGAGACCAAATTGCCCACATTTCTTTCTATCCTTTGCTGGGGTTCCCTTAGATAAATATATATTTACCTTTTAAGGGCCTTCATTTTGGGATTACCCATCCCAACTGTCCATCCCTTTCATTGGGTGGTCCACCATATATCATCCCAACTTAGACAGGGACTGGCCTCTCTGTAGCCACTAACTAGTTCTGGACAGAGGTATTTATCTGCCTGTGACAGCTGCCTCTAATTTTCTAAATTACCACAGGAGAGGACCTGACACACATCGAATTGGATGGTTGTGAGTGTTGAGGTCTTTGTGGTATTTATCACTAATTGGACAGGGTATTCAAATGTCCCCTGGTAGGATCCTCAGCTACCTCTTGACCTGTTCACAATCATCCATGTTAGAGCCCAAATTTGGATCTATCCCATTTTTCCTATGGGACTTTCCTTGAAATTACCCTTTGAGATTCTCCCAGGGACCCCACATTTCTCACTGATCTTTAGCTTTTGTTTGCCAGGTCACTAGTTCTTTGACCCTGGTACAGTGAGCCCACCCGTTTTCAGTGTTTGTACAGCAGTCTTGGTAGTGAGGAGCACCTGGTAGGGGGACCTTTTCAACTCAGTGGAAGTTTTTCCTTCCATGTCTTGATTAGCGCCAGGTCACCAGGATGGAATGATGAATGGTGAATTTAGCATATTGTGGCAACACATTAATGACAGGATGATAAAACAAGCAGTCTGGCCTTGTACACCAAGTACTAAATCTACAGCATTTTGGATGAAAGAAGGAACATTCCATTTTGTTACAAACCAGGAAGTAATGGCACAGCCTACTAGTGAGTAGTGTATATTGTAACTGGTTTTAGAGGCAGTACTGGAATTCTACTCACAGAAGTGAAGAGACAGTCTGGTTTAGTATACTTTGCATCATATTTATAATTTAAGTGAACAAACAAAATTTTTCAGCATATTTTCAATTGGGGAAGTCTTTGCAAGTTCAAACGGCATGACGGTAAGCCCATTTTTACAGGCAGGCCATTACTTGCAGTACTCAGAGAGTCTCTTGATTTCTGTGCCCCACTTCATTTATCATCTCACCATTGGAAAAACTACCATTTGGATCACTCAGCTGCCTACACATCGACTGTAACTGCTATGGGTGGAGGAGACCATTGAGCCCCTTGTTTGAGGCTACCATTTAATTTATAAGTTTCATTCCATCAAAGCATTTGTCTACCTTTTGATCTGACATATCCTTAGAGGCTGAGGACACAATCCAGTGTTACTCTAAACTTGGGACTTGCAGTTTATGTGGTTGTACATGATCTCATGCCTGCATAAGGTGTCCTGAAAGACACACCAAAGGGTATCTGCCATTTTTACCCCCAACTCTTGGTGGGGGGCCACTACTATTTCCTCAGGTGGCTTTGTCTTCTTCAGAATAAACAATATGTGTGTAGGCTGATCTGCACAGTTGCCACCATTACTGGGTCAATTTGTAGTTGGGATAGTTGCTGCTGTTATTTCTTAATTTTTTTTTCTATATTGTCTCTTTCTGCTGCTTCTTTGCTGGTGGTACTTATTCGGGGGGTCCTGCTTTGCTCCCAGACCTCTCTGGTACTAATTCTTGAGAAGTTCAAGTTCTGAGAACATCTGGAAGTTTGTTTTAAAGTTTTTGCTATAGGGCACATGCACTTACCAGAGAGAGAGTATCAGTGAGAAGGAAAGTGAGTACTCCCCTTGGGGATGACCATGCCACAATCCTTTGCCCTCCATCCTCCTCTTAGGATTTTGGGCATGCACGCACATATACCTGGCATGATTTTCAAGTCGCCAAGTCCACTAGGTTCAGAATTTGAGCTACAGCCAGCCATTTGGGAGTCTAGTGCTTTAACCACTGAGCCACCTGCTAGCTATAGTTGGTCATTCAGTTGTTTTTGTCACAGATTCTAGAACTTTAGATACAGCTTTTGAAATCATATTATTGTTAACTTGTTTAAGAGGTGGGAGAGAAGGGCTTCTTTCAGACTTTGCTGGCACTGACATACCTCTGGAGATACTTCTGTCCAGGACTCAGAGTCATCATCTAACTCCTCTTCTCCATCACAATTGATTGTTGTTTTTGTTTTTGTTTGTTTGTTTGTTTGTTTTTCCTTCACTTTTACAGTTGAACTTAGTACAGGCAACTTTCTCTTTCAAAAGTTTTTGCCCTCATTACTGATTTTTTTTTTTTTTTAACTGAGTCACTTCTGGAAAAGAGACTATAAGCCTCCTCTAAGCCGTTAAGCACTTTGGGTTCACACAAATGTCCCGTTTCATATGCCCAGCTGTTCTGTATATCAGGTTGCTTAGCAGCACGAATACTGTTTTGCTGCTGTTGAAATTGCAGCCTGTTTAAATGAGTGCCGCTATCTGTATTTTACCTTGCAGGTAGTCAATAGATTTCCATAGAAGGGTGAGAAGAACTGTATCTGTAACTGTAGATATTTTTCTGGGATAAGGGATTCTCCTCCATAAAATTAAGGTCTTCATCAGTGAGATCGTCTGGTTATGTCTGGGTAGCAGTCACATCTTCAGAGCAATGCTGTATCCCTCACTCACTAGAGGGAGGGAGGGAGATAGAGAGAAAGTGAGAAAATGTCCCTCCATGGGGAATGACCTCACCATAATTCCTTCTCCTCCATTTCTCACTCCATTTGAAATTTTGTATATGCAGGCACACACTACCAGGCATGCTTTATAAGCCACCAGATCTAGGACCCAAATCACACTGTCAGCCATGTAACTACCACATTACCAACTGGCCCTAAAGAGGCGTCTTGCTTGACATTAGTCCAGTTGTAGCTCCATCATCACAAATCTGACATTAGTGATTTTCTGTTCCCATGAACATGTAGAAACTGGAAGCTCTTTTTTCAGATCTCCAATAAAAAGAGCAAGGGAAGACGCTGTAGTTTTGTATGCTCTCTCATTTCCCCAAATGAATATACTCTGGTTTGAAGGCACATTACTATCAAAGGTGTTGGTATCAGAAGACTTTATACTAGAGGGTTCATTTGTAGCAGAGCAAAGTTGATCTAAAACACTGTGAAACCATATAGTAAATCAAATCGTAGTGTTCCCTAGAAACAGGGACAGGTCCTCTATCATTTGGTTCTGACTTTTCTTGGTGACCACCATTACCATGATGTAATCAGGAAGTTCTTTATCAACACAAGTTCCTGGACTGGCTCTGCGGCCTGGTGGTTAAGGCAGTCAGATCCCAAATGGCTGACCACACGATTGAAGTCCCGGACCTGGTGCTTGAGAACCATGCCAGGTGTGTATGTATTGGAGTGACAAAAGAAAAGGGAATACTGAGGAGGTTGAAATTCAATGAACTGAGAAACCTAGACAGTGGGAGGATTACTGACAAAAATGTTGAAATCATGTAATTAGTTTTGACAGGATTGCTGTTGGGACAATTGTGAACTAGAAAATCTTCAAATGAATGAATGGGAGTATCTGAGAGTAGATAACTGCAATTTGTTGTTCTGAGTGAAATCCATTCTCTCCCAGCTCTAATTAAAGGTATGAAGAGTTTTATAGCAATTAGAAATAATTGTGACAAAAGCCTTTAAAAAAAAAACAGGACTAACTAGCAGTTATTCAATACAAACAAAACAAAAGCAATTGGTTCATTTTAAAGATACTATTGTGATATCCTTTTTTTTTTTTCTTTTGGGAGAGGTTTTTGCTATAGTGCGTGTGTGCTCAACAGACAGAGAGACAGAAAGCGAGAAATCATCCCCCGGGGGAATGGCCACTCCACAATCCCTTCTCCTCCATTCTCCTCTCGGGATCTTGGGCATGCACGCACAAGAGCCTAGCATGAGTTTAAGCCACCAGGTCTGGGACTCAAACCATGGTTGACTACATGGGAGTCCAGCAACATAGCCATTATGCCATCTGCTGGTCCCACACATGTATTAATTTCACCAGTAGGAGAAAGAAAGTAAACCATATTAACCACCTGGAAATGGTGTACATTATGTACAGTTGGACAGTTATAGGATTCATTATGTACAGTTGAAGTAAAATTTTATTGTCATATATTAATCATTTATTACTTTCTCATATGTGGCATTGCTAAACCAGTGATTTACCTGTTGCATGAATGCAGTTTTTTTAAGAGTGGTTTTTGCTATCAGGTGCTTGTGCTCACCAGAAAGGTAGAGAGAGACATAGAGACTGAAAGCAAGAAATCACCCCCCGGGGAGGGGATGGCCACGCCACAATCCTACCTCTTCCATTCTCCTCTTGGGATCTTGAGTTTGCACTCTCATGTGCCCAGTGTGAGTTTAAGCCACCAAGTCCGGAACCCGAATCGCAGTCGACTACATGGGAGTCCAGCAACATGACCACACTACACTCTCTGCTGGTCCCAAGGATGCAGTTTCTAAAATTTTGCTAGAAAATGTCATATGCAAAATTCAAAGCATTTTGAGAAGTAGCATGATTTTTCTCTTTTTTTTTTTAATATAGATATTTCTCCTGATGGGGAGTACAAGCCCTTAATTATTGAAGAAGAAAAAGTACAATGTATTTCACGTGAAATAAACTCATCAGATACTGTTTTTTCTCCTGCTGACACAAAAAATCCAAAGTGCAGTGAGACTTCACAGACATCACCAAAACCAGAAGGAAATTTGGAAGGTATGTTTTGATGGGTTGAAATTTGCTATATTTGATAATACTTAAATTTCTTCTTCTTTTTTTTTTTTTTTGAGAGGTTTTTGCTATCGGGCGCATGCTCTTGCCAGAAAGACAGAGAGAGACAGAGAGATTGAAAGCGAGAAATCACCCCCCCAGGGGGATGGCCACACCACAATCCCTTCTCCTCCATTCTCCTCTCGGGATCTTGGGTACGCATGCACACACGCCTGGCATGAGTTTAAGCCACTGGGTCCGGGACTCGAACTGCGGTTGACTACATGGGAGTTCAGCCATTACGCTAACTGCTAGTCCCTTAAATTTCTTCTTTATAAACAGGTCATCAGAATTTGTGTATTTATTTGAGTAATTCATATCAAGTTAGGTTTTGTTTTATTGGGTTTTTGCAGTAGAGCACACGCATTTGCTGAAGACAGAAAGACAATGAAAGGGAAAGTCAGAAATCACCCCCCCAGAGGGGTTGGCCAGAGGGCCCCACAGGTTGGTACCTTTGAGGACTCTTCTGTTCTGAACTTTCAGTTCAACTGGTGATGCTTCTGCAAGTAAGAGTTCTAACTAATTCTGTGAAATTTTTTAAAAAGAAGTATTCATTTAATTTTATTTATTATTATTAGTTTAATTTAGTACACATGTTCTCCCTAGAGAGTGACAAAGTGAGAAAGTAAGCTGCCAGGTCCAGGACTCAAACCATGGTCGGCCATGTGGGAGTCCAGTGCCTTAACAACCACACCACCTGCTGACCCCAGTTTTGTGTGTTTTTTGTTTGTTTGTTTGTTTGTTTGTTTGTCTTTTATGAAGTTACTGACACTCACTAAACTTTAATATTAAACATCACTCTTTTTTCTTTCTCTTTCTCTCTCTCTTTCTTTCTTTTTGGAGGCAGGTCCTTCTCTACCTCAGGTTGTCAATGATGATGCCGTGAGCCAATGTTCTTGAGTTCTTAGAAACTCTTTTTTATAGAAAGACAGTCTATGAGGCATGCCTTTAAAGCTTTCAGTGTCATAGCAGAAGGTCTTATGGTCACAACTTTGACTTCATCCTTGGTCTTAGGCTACAGTTTTTTGCCTGAATTTAGTCTTTGTTTTGAGGCCATGTCTTTCCTTTAAGAAGCTTTGCTTAGACGGACTTATCCTGGGCCTTCTATATGTCTTCTAAATTCTGCTTATAATCCAAACGGTTCTTTCTTCATTAATATAGTTCTTGTACTATATCAGAGGAAAAGCCATTCAGTATTGTCAGTGTTGTTTTTATAGCTCCTTTGTTAGATGATTAAATCCATAAAGTACATTTTCTTTTTTTTTAACCCTGAGAGGGAGCATATGCACACATGAGAGAGAAAAAGCAAAGGTGAAGACACCCCTAATGGGGCCTGGTCATGCCACAACCCCCTTACTCCGCCATTTCTTTATCCCATTAGAATCCCAGGCATATGTGTGCATGTCCAACATGTTTATTAAGCTCCTGAGCTGGGAATGAACCGCAGTCAGCCATAAGGGATCTGGCTCCCCCTGCATAGCATTTAACTGCTAGGCTGCAGAGTCGGCCCCATAATGTACATTTTATATCTTCCTTATTATTTCAAGTACCAAATTTCTGCCACTATTTAAGAATCCCATTTTCTCTAGCATCTAGTAACTTTCATTCACTTACTAGCAGTCTCCTTGAAGCTCTTCCAACTCTGCCTGCTGCCCACTCGCAAAACTAATTCACGTCTTAGTCTTTTATGTCAGCACCCCGCTTTCAGATACAAAATGCTGTTTCAGTTACCTATTGATGCAAAACAAGTAACTTCTAAAACATAGTAGTTTCAAGTAACTATTTTATTTTATCTTACACTTTTGCAATCAGGAATTGGGAAAGTGGTTCCATTCCATATATATTTTTTTTTTTGAGAGGTTTTTGCTATAGGACGCGTACATTCGCTAGAAAGACAGAGAGAGAGAGACAGACAGAAAGCGAGGAATCACCTCCTGGGGGTATGGCCACACCGCAATCCCTTCTCTTCCATTCTCTTCTTGGGATCTTGGGCATGCATGCACACACGCCCGGTGTGAGTTTAAGCCACTGGGTCCGGGACTCGAATTGCGGTCAACTGCTTGGGAGTCCAGTAACATAGCCATTACGCCAACTGCTGGTCCCCCCCATGTGCTTAACTAGTATCACTCATTGGCATTCAACTATTGGTTGAGCTTATCTGGAGAGTGCAAGAAGACATCATTCTCATGCTTGGAATCTTGGCAGGGCTTGACTGGGCCCCACCTCCTTCATTTTACTCAGAAAATTGCCATGTAGTCTTTTCAGAGTGGCTCAGGCTTCCAGGTACCAAGTGGAAGCTGCCAGTTGCCCTAAAGACTCAGCCTGGAACTGGTATAGCATCATTTCCATTGTACTCTCTTAGTCAAGGCCATCTTGATGCCAGCTGAAATTAAAGGGGAGGAGAAGCAGAATTCCTCTAGATGAGAAGTTCGGAGACCTTGCAGCGTGTGACCATCCTTACCACAGAAATTTAAAAACAGCCATTCCTCATTGCCACAGATTTCCCGTTTAACAACCACTAGAACTTACAGCCGGTTCTCCAGCATGGGGAATCCCCTTTTTCAGTCTGTGTGAGTCTGGGGAATCCCCTTTCTTCATTTTTGTCTCCTTCCCGCAGTTGGTTAATATTCACTACACGATAAAATAACTTTTAGGCATAAGATGGATGCTGTGTAGCTTGGAGTACAGGCTGGCAGATTTTTTTCTGCAAAGAACTTGAGAGTAAATATTTTAGGCTTTACTGAAAATACAGTCACAAAGCAAGTTTATAGGGTGACAACAAGTCATAGTGATATGGTTTAAGGTACTAGAGAATAGGGTTATTCATTACAAATAAACTAAGGCAGAATCCCCAGCCTCTCCCCCCCAAAAGTATTTTCTTGTATGAATGACTCAAAAGATCATTTCAATAAAAGATAAACTTAAGAATTGGTACAATTCTTTTTAATAAGACAGATCATTAAAAACATTAAAAATAGAGAAGTGTATCTGGATGTCAGGGGGAATAAAGAGAAATGATATTGATTTAAAGAATATTGATAATCCTGGGACCAACAGATAGCATAATGGCTATGTCGCTGAACTCCAGTGTAGTCAACCACGGTTCATGTCCCGGACCTGGTGGCTTGAAACTCACGCCGGGCATGTGTGCATGTGTGCATGTGTGCCCAGGATCCTGAGAGGAGAATGGAGGAAAAAGGATGGCAGCGTGGCCATCCCCCCGGGGGGCGATTTCTCGCTTTCTATCTCTATCTCTGTCTGTCTGGCAAGCGCACGTGCCCTATAGCAAAAAACCTCTTCAAAAAAAAAAAAATAGTATTGATAATCCTAACTGGAAAGAAAAAAAAGAAGTTAACAAACAGAGGAAGAAATTCTCATCTCACTATTTTCATTCAGGCAGTATCAGTCAGGATACAAATGAGCAGCTGCCTAGGCCAGCCATATAGTGCAGTGATTAAGCTACATTGGAAGCTAGATCCTATATGGCCAACCACAGTTTGAGTCCCAGCCCCAGTGACTTAAAAATCACGCCAGGCTTTGTGTGCATGGCTGCCTAAAATTCTGACTTGATGGAGAAATGGATGAAAAAGGATGCAGCATGACCACACCCACACTCCATTAGAGGATGTTTTTGCTTTCTCTCTCTGGAGAATGCATACATCCTCCTGAAATGAAAAATAAGTAATTAAAATTTTAAAATAAATAAATAGGGGTCAGCAGGTAGTGTAGTGGTTAAGGCACCAGAGTCCCACATAGCCAACCACAGTCCTAGTCTTGGACCTGGAAGCTTAAAGCTCACGCCAGGTACGTATGCATGCTCAAAATCCTGAGAGAAGAATGGAGGAGAAGGGATCCCACTGTGGCCATCCCCCCAGGAGGGTAATTTCTCACTTCCTTGCTCTGTGTGTCTCTGTCTCTCCAGGAAGTACACACACTTTATAGCAAAAATGTCTCTTAAAATAAATAAATAAAAATGAAAATACATAAGTAAATAAATAAATAAATGATAAATAAAAATGAACCACTACCAGATAGCTCCTTGTTTATTATTTGAAGGCTAAGAAAATAGATTTAGGGTACTCCAATTATGTTTTCAGTATCATTGCAAAAGTCCAGGTAATAGTTATATTTTTTCTTTCTTAGTTATTGAAAGACTTTAAAGACTAAAATTTCCTTTTAGATATTAGTCAGTTATATAAGTCTGTTCCATATTTCTAGGCACAGATATCTTTATTCTTAATTAATAGTTCTTATCTTCTTTAAATCAATGTATATGTTATTAAAATTATAATGAGAAATTTTTACATAATAATGTAGTGTACAAATATTTTTTAAAAATTTTTTACAGTGAAAAGGCAAAAGGAAGAGTCTAATTTCAGAAAAAAAGCTAGAGAGTTAACAAAATAATAAGATGGAAGACCTTTAGTTAAAATACTTAATTTTCCTGTTATGGTTAGATTTACCCTTAAATTTGGTAGTGATAATTTACAGAAAGTCTGTTCAATTTTCTCTCAACTTTTTCTTTCAAACATGTTTCTTTTTATGTTTTTGTTTTGCAGAATCTGATGATTTGGAAACAGAAGTTCTACAGGAGCCAAGTGGAATAAACAAAGATGAGAGTTTGCCATGTGTTATTACTGATGTGTGGATTCGTGAGGAAGAAGAAACAAAGGAAACTGAGTATGCTCCATCTTCTCCTCACATACCAGAACCCAGGTTTCTTTTGTAATACCTTCTTTAAAATAATACAGTAATCACTTCACATTACAATATAATAGCCTGATATTAAAATACATTATGGGGACCAGCAGTTAGCATAATGGCTATGTCGCTGGACTCCCACGTAGTCGACCACAGTTTGTGTCCGGACCTGGTGGCTTAAAACTCACGCCGGGCACGTGTGCGTGTGTGCCCAAGATCCCGAGAGGAGACTGGAGGAGAAGGGACTGCAGCATGGCCATCTCCCCTGGGGGGGGATTTCTCGCTTTCTGTCTCTATTTCTCTCTCTGTCTGTCTGGTGAGCGCACACGCCCTATAGCAAAAACCTCTCAAAAAAATATATTATGTAAGTTATTTAATTTTATAATAGATATTCATAGGGTTCAAAAAATCAACAAGTATTTAAGGTATATGAAGATATACAGTAAAAAGTCTGGACTGTGGGGGCCATCTGGTGGCATGGTGTTTAAGGCAGCTAGATCCCACATGCCTGATTGTGCAGTTTGAGTCCCAAATCCTGTGGCTTGGAAAACACACAGGCGCGTGTGCATATATGCCCAAAATCCTGAGAGGAAAATGGAGGAGAATGGATTTGGGCATGACCATTTCTGCTGGGGAATGATTTCTTACTTTCTCTCTTTCTCTGTCTCTCTCTGGCAAGCACACACATTCTATAGCAACAATTTTTAATAAATCTTGACTGTCTCTATCCCTGTTCATCCAAATCTCACTCTGTCCTTTCAGATAATTTTTAATATATGCATAAGCAAAATAAATATACAGTCTTCCTTTTAAAATATAATTGTTAGTAAAATGTAGGTAGTATTTTTTACTCAATAATAAATCTAAGAAACTTTTTCATATTAATTCATAAAGGGTTCCTCTTTTTTCTTATGTTATGGCTGGTTTTTACACACACACACACACATATTTCAGTAAATCTCTTAGTTGAACATTTATTGATTATTGCAAGTGGTTTTATAATGAATGATATTTTACATAAGGTGATTTTTGCATGTATATATCTATAAGAAAGAAACATTAGAAGTATAATTTCCTGGGGTTAGCAGTTGGCATGGTGGTTAAGATGTTGGACTCCCACAAGATCAACGACAGTTATAGTTGCAGATCTGGCAGCTTGCTGTCTTACTTTCTCTCTCTCGTGAGCACACATACCCTATAGCAAATTTTAAAATAATAATAATAATAAAATTAAATAAATAATTAGTTAAAAACAAAAAGAAATATAATTTCTTGGTCTTTTATATTTTTACAAATTGCATTTGTAATGCAGTGGCCCAAAAGCCTAGTGGTTAAAGGAGCAAGATCCCATGTGGCTGACCACAGTTTGAATTCCAGTGCCAACAACTTGAAAAACACACTGAGAGGCCAGCAGATAACATGATGGTTAAGGCGCTGGACTCCCACATGGCAACCATGGTTCGAGTCCTGGACATGGCGGCTTGCTTTCTCACTCTCCCTCTTGCACACCCTCTCTATCTCACAGTAGTCAAATTGAAGAAAAATAATAAACAAATTTTTAAAATAATTTTTAAAAAAATAAAAAATAAAAAAACACTGAATGTATGAACACACATACCCAAAATCCCAACAGGATGAAGAAATGCCAGAAAAGGGATTGTAGCGTTATTATGCCTTATTATGGGGGGATGCTTTCTCCCTCTCTCTGTCTCTGGCAAGTGCACATACCCTCTGGCAATTAACAAACAAACAAACAAGAAAAACATCACTACATGCTACAGAGAAATCTTTCTTAAAAGAGTCAGTTGATGTGACAAACTTTTATTAAGATACTGCACAGCCACTCAGACTTCAGCAGCCAGCTCAGTCCCCAGCCATAACATTGAAGCAAGACCTCCACCACAAAAAGGTTATGACTTGCTGAAGGCACTGATGGTTGTTAGCATTCTTTTAGCCACGAAGTATTTTTAAATGATTACATATGTGAGATATACTTCAGAAAGTTGATGGAAAAGGTGTACCATGAGCAACTATGCATTGTCTTCAAAATTTTTTTGCACCAAAATAAACTCATATTTAATTACATTTTGAATTAACTTTTTGAAATACCCTTGTACAGTTTTTTCAGATATAAGGCTGTTGCACTTAATTTACTATAATATAGTAAATATAAACTTACGTGTGTATATGTCAAAGCATTTATGAAAATATGGAAATAAAGTATGAGTTAATTTTGGTGAAAAAGTATTTTGAACTCCATGCATAAGTTTTTCTCACAATACACATTTTCCATGAACTTTTTTGATAATTCCCTCATACATGTAACAAAATATGATTCAGCCATAAAAAGGAATAAAGAACAGAGATACCCTACCACATGGTTGTGCTTTGAAGACATTATACTAAATGAAAGACATTAGCTACAAAAGGCTACACAATGGTTCATTCCATATGCAATATCTATAGGTAAATTCATAGAAACAGGAAACAGATTACTCATTGGCAGAAGTTGGTGGGGAGGCAAAAACAGGGAGTAGCTGTTTCATAGGTACAAGGATGTCTTTTGGGGTGATGAAAATGTTCTGGAACTATACAGAGCCAACATTGTGAGTATACTAAATACCATTGACTTGTATACTTTAAAATGGTTAAAATAGGGACTAGCAGATGGCATAACGGTTACATCACTGGACTTAAACATAGTCTATCTTGGGCTGGACTCCCACATAGTAGACCATGATTCAAACCTGGTTACTTAAAACTCATGCTGGGCACATGAGAGTGCATGCCCAAAATCTCAAGAGGAGAATGGAGGAGAAAAGGTTGCAGCATGGCCATCTTCCTGGGTGATTTCTTACTTTCTGTCTCTCTCTCTGCTTCTCTTTGTCTCTCTGGCCAGTGCAAGTGCCTTATAGCAAAACTCTCTCTCAAAAAAAAAAAAAGGGTTAAAATGGTGACATTTGTATTAAATGAATTTTACATCAATTAAAAAAGAAGCAGTGTTCCTATTTTAGGACTTCTCTAATCACTCAAATCCCAGTTGCCTTTACTATTATCAATTTGGTATGCGTCTTACCAGATTTTTCCTTTAAATTTACATGTATATATATTCACTTGAGTAAATAATTTTCACATAGAATTATCATAGTGTATAGAAATGTTTTCTTCCTTCAGTATTTATTCTATTAAATCATTCAGTATTTTAAATGTATATATTTATATATACCACCTATTTTTCTCACTCCACAGTTGATGGGTATGTAGTTGTTTCTACCTTTTGGCTATTATCAGTAGTGCTGCAGTGAAAACTGGCATACAAGTGTCTGTTTGAGTCTTGCTTTCAATTCCTTTGCATGAATACCAGTAGAGCAACTGCTTTATCACACAGTAATTCAATCTTTAACCTGTTGGAGAACCGAACAACATGACATTTTGAATGAAGAAAATGTATTGCTTGTGTGAGTAAAAATTAAAACCTGGGCCAGCTGGTGGCATAGAGGTTATGGCAACTGAATCCCACATGAATGACCATGTAGTTTGAGTCCCAGACCTAGCAGCGTGAAAATCATGCTGGGCACATGTGCGTGCATGCCCAAAAACCGAAGAAAAAAATGGAGGAGAAGAGATTGTAATGTGGTCAACCCCACAAAGGTGACTTCTCACTAACTTACTTTCTCTCTTTCTCCAGCAAGCACATGTGCCCTGTAGCAAAAACTAAAAACAAAAAAGGAAAAAAATTGTTTTTAATTAAGTGAGATGAATTTGTGAGTTCTTTATTTTTTGTCTTCAATATTAATCCCTGCCTTTGAGGTCAAACTGTTTTTGTGAATATTATTCTGTTTTTTTTCTGTCATGTGAACCCTGTTTTCAAAACCAAACACCATTAAATATAAATCGGTCCACAAATTTCTTTGTTTACCTAACAAATATCATGATTATTGTTCCAATTTGTACAGATCTCTGCTTCATTTTTTAAGACATACATGATATTCTGTAATATCAGTATATCATAATTATATGCTGCACTATTAGGGCATATTTCGATTCTTTAAAGTAATAGTTCTCTGGGACCAGCAGATGGTGTAATGGTTACATCACTGGACTCCCACATAGTCAACTGCCATTCAAGTTCTGTACCCGGTGGCTTAAAACTCATGCTGGATGCTTGTGTTCTCACCCAAAATCCTGAGAGGAGAATGGAGGAGAAAGGGACTATAACGTGGCTATCCACCCTGGGTGGGGGGTGATTTCACTCTTTATGTGTCTCTGTCTCTGTCTCTCGGGTGAGCACACACACTCTATAGCAAAAATCTCTCTTAAAAAAATAAGTAATGGCTCTCAAACATTAGCATGCATTAGAATCACTTTGGGATTTATTAAAACCAATTGCTCAGCTTTATCCTTCAGTGGTATTCATAGGTCTAAGATGGGCCTGAGAATTTGCATTTCTAACAAATTTTCATGTTTGCTGTTATCTGAGGACTGCGCTTGGAGAATCGCTGGTGTAAAACATGGTGAGGCTGGTTGTTATGAATGTCTAATGATGAGTGAAAGCTTGAACAGTGTAAAAAATACAATATGCTTATAAAATAAAATGCATATTTTAAAAGTGAGCTAAACACTTACAAGGATCACAGGATACCAGTGAACTTGTATTCTATTTTTTGTATTTTAGGGTGCTTTTATTTCTGGTAAACTAAGTGAGGTTTTTTTGTTTGCTTTTGTTTTTATTTGAACTGCTGTACCAATGTATGGCAGGTTGGAAGATAGGACCACCATTCAGCAAAATGAAATTTCTGAAGATGAAATCCCAAGGAATGTGGACCAACTTCATGAAGTGCATATAGGTAAGCATCATTGCATTAGTGTAATTACTTCCTGGAAGGTTGTTTTAACACTGATCAGTTTATTTGGGTTACATGCATAGAGCATTCCTTATCAGTCCAGTCGCTGAAAAAATGTGATAGGCGCAGAGCACTGGACCCTGATATTAATAAGCCTGGATTGTATGGCAGCGTGGATAGTGAGAATTTTTATTTTATAAGGCCTTCAAAATTCTTCAAGATGAGGGAACCAGCAGTTAGCATAATGGCTATGTCGCTGGATTCCCACGTAGTCGACCGCGGTTCACATCCCGGAGCCAGTGGCTTAAAACTCACGCCGGGCACGTGTGCGTGCATGCCCAAGATCCCGAGAGGAGAATGGAGGAGAAGGGATTGCAGTGTCACCATCCCCCCTGGGGGGTGATTTCTCACTTTCTGTCTCTATGTCTCTCTCTGTCTGGTGAGCGCACGCGCCCGATAGCAAAAATCTCTCCAAAAAAAAAAAAAAACTTCAAAATGAAAGGATTTACTTGCCAATTCTTGACAGTGTATGAAGAACATAAAATAAGCTGTCTTCTTTTTAAAATAGTATTTTTTTAAAAAATTATTTATTTTATTTATTTTATTTTTATTTTTTTTTTTATTATCATTATAATCTTCTTTATATTACATTGGATTACATATAACTTTACATTGTATTACATTGTTTTTTCAAAAGGGAATGCCATGCATGTCAGTCAGTACAGAGACA